CCCAATCCAACCCTCCAGAGATGTTCCAGCTTTACCCTTTGCCAGCTTTACTCTTTTTCCTGTCGATGAATAGTTGATTGTTTCCTCAACTGTTTTGCAGTTCCCCGAATCTAAAAGGTTGCAATGCTTCTCCTATGGATTACTAGTAGCAATAAGAGTTTTAAACTAAAATATGCTGGTATATTTGGTTTCTTGGTCCCATGACTTTTGCTAACACTCCACCCACCACTGCAGTACAGTTCCCAGGAGCTTCTCTATAAAAGAATTTGGTTTTCTGGCTGATGTCCCTAATGTATACAATTCTCTGAATGCAAGTTCTTACATAACCAAAACACCCTCCAGAGTAACCCCAATATTTGCAGAAGTACAAACAATATCTAGGGGGGAAACCCCTAATGGAGACACCCTCCAAAAAAGGAGTCCAGTGGGCATTGAACATGCCCAGAGGCCATTAAATGGTAGCTGAAAAGAGGGAGGAGGATGGATCACTGGGGGAGATGTAAAACAGAATGGAACGGCTGAAATCCTGAACAGCTGCACCCCAAACTGCAATATTTTATGACTGATTTTATGTCCCGTTAAACATTATGTTGTATTCAGCTATGAAAACTTCCAGACCAAACAATAAAATAGTCAGAATATCAAAACATTCCTGTCCTTCCCCCAACATGGTTACTTCAGTTCCAGCTTTGCAAAATGTTAGAATCATTCACTTATCTGGCTGTTTCAACACTGGGTGACTCATATCCTTATTTAAGACATAGTGAGCATTACTGCTTTTGGGAAAGAAACTGTAACAACTGAAACTGTGAGGTGCTGTGCATTTTAACACTTGTTATTATATTGCTATCTAAATGTATACAATACCATATGCACATTGTCCTGGTATGTTTGATAACTTTAGATAAAACAAGTGACGGAATCATACACTTGAAAATAACACACCAAATTGCCAGTCTGTTTGGGGAAGGAGGGATGGCCTTTGATAAAGCTATGTATTGTCCTTTGACAAAGCTATTTTAAAAGTCAAAAGATACACATGGAAGTGATTTTAAACTCCTACTTGCAATCTAAAATGTGCCTACATATTTCTCTCCTGACCCAGTGCCTTCTTGGATGGGAGTTACCCTACCCAAAAGGGCTCTTTAGCTTCCATGGAGACAAGAGATGTGCACGCCCATTTCCACACATGCGGTTCCATTTGCGGTTTCATTCCCACTAAAAGTGTTTCATTTGCAAATGCCTTTGACCCCTTCGGGTACATGAATGACCTGCTACAGGCCATGATGGTTGATAGGACTGAGCATCAACTGAAGCAATAGCAAACTGTGGAAATCCCTTATGCAGATTGTCCAAGAGGCACTTTCCACCATGTTCCCTTGATTTTACGACGCTGATTTTTTTGCAGACAGTAAATAACTTTCATACTTTAATTACTGTATGGTTTACTTATTCTGTTATCTTTATTACTTGAACATTGAATTAATCAAAATGTATAAAATTATACATTCTGAACAACAAATTTCCCTTTTTGTACCTTTAAATTGGATTATATGCTGTCCAAGACTCAGATTCTAAGATAAGTTAACTTAAGATACAATCTTATGATCCTGGGAGATCATCCCAAAGGCTATACGATTTTTCGGAATCTCCTCTTGAGAATGTGGCCACAGTTACAGTGTTGGAATGGGGCTCTGTGTAACATAAATATCATTTAAGATAAGCAATGGAGGGCCTCTTTCAGGTTCCTCTCCCTAGGGAGGTTAAGGGGGAGGTGGTGAGGAGGATGGCCTTTTCTGTGGTGGCACCCCAATTATGGAATGCCTTGCCATTGGAGATTTGTCAGGTGCCTACTTTATTGAGTTTTAGGGGCCTGAAAAAAAGCTTCCTTTTTTGATGTATCTATGGCACTACTTAAAGTATTTATATGACAGCACTTATTTAATATTTACAAAATATAAAATTTTATTTGTCTATTTATAACAATATTTTAATTGTATTATTTTATTAATGTTATTATTGTATTTTATTGTAATTGCCCAGACAGCATTATGCTGATGGGTGGCTTATATAGAAATTTAATAACTAAATAAAATTCATCAAACCCATATGAAGTTTATGGCATAGTTAGGACTAAAGTAAAAGATTGCATATGTCTTAGCATCAATACTAGGGGGAAGGAATGTAAGGAAGAAAAGCATTTAATTTTCAGGTGATGGTGTCTTCTGCAAAACTCTTTGTGAAAGAGAGGTGTGAGAAGCAAGCCGAGAAAATGGGTCACTCTTCATCAACACAGTTTTCACATCAGTTTTAATTTATTTTGTTGTTACCATGGGTCAGAGAATGGTACTCCCTAAAGTTCCTTCTGAAAGAAAGGAGGGGGATCCAGATTAGCCTGCCCACATTAATGTTACATTTCAATTTTACCTTTCACTGTGCATATATACACTACAGATCAAAACAAGTTCCCGTTTCTTGGGATGTCCTGAGAAATATATAAAAGGGGAAGAATTTATCACATCAGACCATGACTTTCAGAATGAGTTGAAGTCTACTGGAAGAAGCTACAATAGTGCTTATACCATAGATTTGTACAGTAGGAAGGGCCACTGTCAGGGCAAACACTTTTCTTGGTTATGTACATTTTTTCTGGCCTTTTGGCTCTGGAGTTATTTTTGTTTTCTCCTAAGTGATGCTAATTTTGTCTAGCTATGCCTATATACTCTGTAAACATCCTTATATTTGTTACAGTGTCCCAAACCTCTTTTAGATAAGGGTTCTGGGATGATGCCTCATTTAGCTTGAATTCTACCTGCTGGTTCAGTGTGATTCAAAGTATGGGACCCTCCCTGAGGTATTTGGAGACAAGCATAGTGGAAGGAAGGAGTTTGGGTCTGTTTTTATCTATATACTTTTGGGCACTTTGTTTTGCTTCAGGGAGCAGTCCGCACCCCCTAGAGAGTATCTGAGGAGCCATAGGACAGTTCAGATTCCCAGATCCAAAGCTGGAGAGACTGCCTTGATATCAGAGCTTGGAATCTGAACTCCGTCCACCTTCCCCATCCCTTCACTGTTGGCACTGAAAGAGCCAGCCAAGCTGGCTGGTCTCTGGATGGGAAAGCAACCTTGGAGCGGGATAAAAGGGGGCATTTTGGCAGACAGGGAAGGGAGCAGACTGTAGAGGCCAGGATACAAGGCATTCTGACACCTCTCTGACTTCTAGTCATCCCCTTCCAAAGCATCCCATTTAGATGGGCAATACAACCTGTAGAAAATAGAAAAAATGCAGGGTGGGAGGACATGTAGGTGAAGATGGGCAAAAAACTTCCTTGCTGCTTCTCCCACTATGCATTGGAGGACCTCCAAGTTAATGGACATATGGTTGTGTGATGAAGTATTATTTCCCTATGTGTACGTGTGTGGAACTGTCCTCTGATATGCCCATTCCATGGCCAAATCTTGCATCTCTTAACGTTGGTGCTCCAGGCGTTTTTGCAGGAGCTGGGCTCTCTCTCTCCATCCTTGGAGGAGGAGATCGGCCCCTGGAATAGCCTCCCAGAGACTATAGGTCTGCAGACTTAATGAGTACACCATGAGGGGATGTGCATTGCACTCATTGAAAGAGAGACGAAGAGAAAGAGAAATGCAGTGGCTTACAGTGTTTGGGTAAAGAGTCAGCAAACTACTGCACTGGTCAGCCTTCCCCGACATCTGGTGGGCAGCAAATTGGAAAAGGCTGCCATAGATTCAATGAGGGAAGGCAAAGGGAAAACGAACTTCACACAGGAGCAAATGGCAAGTTATAGGGGAGAGTTAACCACTCAATAGCCAATGTGAGGAAAATGTTCATTTGGATCTGCAGAGTTTACAATCTGTGAAATCCATCAGATTTAGAATTTACTTGACATAATATCTCTAGGGAATTCATAAAAGCAGAAATATATGCAATCTTCTCCATATTCATTTGTCATAGCAGTAAAGGGCAAATGCAAAATGAAAATGAGAGAAAAGGCTTTTTTCTTCATTGAGATACAAGTATATTTCAAAATATTAGCACCAGCCTGTTTAAAAGGCTGTTGGTCATGCAGTTAAACCCCATTCCAAATAGTGTCCTTAAGCACTATTTAAATCAATGTGGTTTAAGTTAGTCACAATGAATGTCCCATTGGTTTCAAAGGGGTTTAGTTCAGTTGGGGACTATGTTACTACAAGAAGGATAACCACTATGACATTTTAGGATACTTAAGTTACAACCTGACTAATATATAAGCATATTTCACATTTAAGTCAGACCTAAGCTAGACAGATAAAGGAAATCCAGAACAAAATTATTTTTTAAAATCGTCTTTTAATGAAAAAAATACTGTGTGAATAGAAATGGAAGTATAACAAAGAATTTTCAGCTGATTCAGGAAAACACAGCTATTACCAGTAGAGGAAAAAAGTATGATTATCTGTTATTAGTCATTTTTCCTCAGCTAATTCTCCTAGATAATTAAGATATGGATATGGGACTATACTATTTTTACACCACAAACCTAAACACATTACCCAAAAGGAAATCCCAATGCTGAACTTACTTCCAAGTGATGTGTTTGGGACTTAGGATTCCAACCAACAATTATGTAGTCTTAATTAACCACCACTCGAGTATCTCCACATTATTTTGCCATTTCTTGAAAGAAATAATTGCAGTATCCTTGCTCCTAATCATGTATATTGAAAACTTTAAGTAAACCTTGCTGATATTAGTGGAATATTTTCAAAAGTTAAGTGTGCTTAGAATTCTATGCAAAATTTTATTTGACAGAAGCCTAGGTTATCATTTGTATAATGTCAGGAGTGTCAAACTCTCTCTCTCTCTCTCTCTCTCTCTCTCTCTCTCTCTCTCT